AAATCGGATAAAATCACGGTTTTTCATTTTTGAAAGGTCATAATTTATCGCGTTGACCTCTCCACTCGGCTTTAAATTGCAAACCTGTTCATGAATTCCTCGGACAAGAACTGCCGTGCTAGGGAAGAACGCCGTATGAGCCTTCAGATGTTGCATATTTTCTTCAAGAAAAACTTAATTTACTGAGAAAATTGTGAATGTCTTTCCTCAAATTTTTCAGTCAATTTTGTTCGCAAATATCTGAAAATTTCAATGAAAAATATGCATAACTTTTCTCAAAAATATGTGTTTTATTCGGGGAAATTTGGCAACTCTTGAATGTTTATACGGCGCGTTTCCTTAGCACGGCAGAATTATTTGCATACCCAAAACTCCTCTGCACATGAAGAGTCCGCAATATTTCCCCGCAAACTTGACACGAAGTAGCGGAACCAACACAATGTGGAAATACTCGAAGAACAAGGGACGGATACGCCTTGACGGCGCAGAAATACGACTATTCGTGCTTGATGGATGTCCGTGCTGCATCTGCAAAATTGAAGGCGCGATGGCGCGAGGCGTGAACTCGCAATACTCCGTTCTGATGCCAATGAGGGGTATCCTTAACTCGAGAGGAACGTAAAAGAGCCAGGCCTGATTACATCTATTCGATCTTCGGCTGTGTTGGCCCTAGATTTGTTCTTCTTTTTTTCCAACTAGACGTTTGATTTTTTTAAGGATGCATTTGTAGACCTACATCTGCAGCCCGTATGTACCGGCCCCGTGCAACCTGCGGGTCACGCTTTTAGGAAACCTTGGGTCAATTTTACCTGGATGGGCATATAAGGAAGACATTTTTAAACATTTAAGTACAAAAAAATGTCATCCGGTGAAGAAACGTTTCTTTGGATTGATCAATCAACATCTGCATATTAATAGATATAAAGAGCCGTATGCAAAAACGACATTTTTCGCCCCCCCACTAAAACTTATTCAAACTTCGTCTATCAGTTACAAATACTGGAGCGCTTCTTTCCCCAAATTTTCAGACCCCCAAAAAATTTTGGGGGGGCGCAAGGGGGGGTGGAAGTCAAAACCTGTGAACCTCGATATCTTTCGAACGAAACAAGATATTGAGGTCCGGTTTGGACGAAAAATCGTCTTAAATTGCATACTTTAAGATTCTAAAGGTAAAAATCCCAAAATTAAATTTTTAAATTAACTTATGTGCTTTTTTCAGTTTTTGAGGAAAAACAATTTCTTTTAAACAGATTAAACTGAAATTTCACATTTTTTGATTTGAACCAAAACCAGTTTTTTAAATTGCTCGTCTTTTTCCGCATCCAACGAGTGGTCGTATAAGCTGGGGAACTGAACGGTTCCGGAGTTATGATCGATTGAAGTTTCCGCTCAACGCGCGCCGACCGGTTTTCGCGCGCAAAAAAGTCGGATTTGACTGTTATTAAATCAGATTGAATGTTCAAACTGAGCAAAATGCATTATTAGGGAGTCTTGAGGGTCGCTGAGTTCAGAAATTACAGATACTTCCAAAAAATTCACGTTTTCAAAATTACAGCTCCGTACAGGACCACTGAGCGGCCGGTCGGCGCTCAGTGGGCCTCTAAAATAGCGCTACGGAGCTGTAATTTTAAAAACGTGAATTTTTCGGAAGTATCTGTATTTTCTGAACTCAGCGACCCTTTAGAGTCCCTAATAATGCATTTTGCTCAGTTTGAACATTAAATCTGATTTTACAACAGTCAAATCCGACTTTTTTGCGCGCGAAAACCGGTCGGCGCGCATTGAGCAGAAACTTCAATCGATCATAACTCCGGAACCGTTCAGTTCCCCACCTTATACGACCACTCGTTGGATGCGGAAAAAGACGAGCAATTTAAAAAACTGGTTTTGGTTCAAATCAAAAAATGTGAAATTTCAGTTTAATCTGTTTAAAAGAAATTGTTTTTCCTCAAAAACTGAAAAAAGCACATAAGTTAATTTAAAAATTTAATTTTGGGATTTTTACCTTTAGAATCTTAAAGTATGCAATTTAAGACGATTTTTCGTCCAAACCGGACCTCAATATCTTGTTTCGTTCGAAAGATATCGAGGTTCACAGGTTTTGACTTCCACCCCCCCTTGCGCCCCCCCAAAATTTTTTGGGGGTCTGAAAATTTGGGGAAAGAAGCGCTCCAGTATTTGTAACTGATAGACGAAGTTTGAATAAGTTTTAGTGGGGGGGCGAAAAATGTCGTTTTTGCATACGGCTCTTTTGGCTCTGCAGGTTGGGTTAAACTTTCGTGTCCTCAAGAGGAAAGAGTAAAAATTTAATGGGCTCGGACCAGATGCAATATTTTCTCACTGCAAAAATAAAGTTTTTTCCCTAGGCGTTTGGCAACGACGCATTTTCCCGGTCAACCGCAATCCGTTTCTGGGCGTTATCGCGGAGAAAACCCGTTATTCCGAAATCCGAATCCATCTCAGCCTCGGCCTCGGCACATCACAATTCATCCGTATTTTTCCCATCCATCAGAAAGCTTATTCACGAGCGGCATGATTTTGTCGTCACTCCTGCCCCTCCCCCATTCTTCCTCCCCGATCACCACCCCCGCCCTCCCCCTTACCCCCTTCCAGCCTGGATTCTCTGCCTTGAACCTCTCACTCGGAAACCTGTGCCAATATTTCAACTGCAAATTGGTAACTCGAAACTCATCCTGACGTCTTGGAATCGCGATGTACCGATGTGTTGTATACCTACATATTCGCTTGGAAAGTTTAAAGGAGCTTTTCCCCGCAACTAAGTTTTGCGAATTTCAAACCGTCGTGACTAAAGGTCCTCCTTGACCCTGTTGAGTATCTGTAATTACAAACAACAGTTCCGCATTGAATTGCGTTATATTTTGACAAACATCAGTGCGGAAAATCAGATGATAAAGCGATTTGAGTGCCGCAGTACTTCTTTTACATCATTTTCCCGCCATTCGGTGCGTTTAAAATTCTGTCGAGTCCTCGCGCGTTTAAAAGCGGGCCTGTCACGGATTTTGGCTCCTAAAATACGCAATGAATCACCACGTTATCTACTCTCGTGATACAGTCAGAATATTAAATTAAAAACACATGGTCTAATGAATCATTGAATGGTACCAGCTAGCACACTTTCGAGTGCGTGCAATGAAATTAGTGACTTTAGTTGGGTTCAATTTGGATCGGCAACTGAAGTAACTGCCTGGCAATGCGGATAGTATCAACGAGATTTGTAAGCGCTCAAAGTCGAGGACGTGCTTTCTGAGTTCTCCAACAGGAAGCATGTCCATTTTCAAATGAGAGCCCAAACACTAGTCTGCCGTGCTAAGGAAAAACGTCATATATGGCAAATTTCCTTCGATAAAAACCAAATTTACCAGCAAAATTGTGAATATTTTCCCCCAAAATTTTCAGACAATGGACCACTAGATAAGGTACAAATTTCAGCATTCTGATACATGTTTCTTAACCAAAATTTTACGTAAAACACGATGCACACAACGAAAATTACAGAAATTAACTCCTTACGAAGATATTTAATGATTCTTAATGCGTGAATTCAAACCACCCGCTCATGAAAACTCAATGCTCTACGTGATTCACATCGCGCGCTAAACGTTATCATGACAGTCTCTGCGATATAAAAATCTGGCAACCTGAATCTTGACGCTTTGGCTCAGTTATAGCAAATTGCTAATAGTTTGAACAACACATGATGGGAAATGAACATTGCTCGATTGAGAAGCTTGCTGAAACCGTTGTAGTGGGCGATTTGACTCACGTAGAGTTTTGAGTTTCTTGTGAGCGGGCAGTTCAAATTCCTCGTAACCAATGTGAAATAAAAACGTTAATATCTTCGTTAGGAGTTGGTTTTCGTAATTTTCGTTGTGTGAATCGTTTTCTACGTGAAATTCTGGTTAAGAAACATGTATCAGATCGCTTAAATTCGTACCTTGTCTAGTGGTCCATTGATATATCCCAATATTTCAAAGAAAAACGTGAGTGAATGTCGTCAAAAATACATCTTTTCTCGCGGGAAATTTGGCAACTCTCGAATGCTCGCACGGCGTTCTTCCTTAGCACGGCAGTACGATGAATGCAGGGGCTCACTTAGAAATGGACATGCTCCCTTTCAGAAACAAATCCTTGAAATTACAGTTCCTTTATACTGAGTATACAATGCGAATCCATTTCTGATTGGTTCCCGCACTTTAGGCCTTCACAGAGTCACAAATGGGATTAAAGATCACAGTTCCACCAATTGCTAAGATTATAAACAGGAATGGACCGGGACATTGGGGGTACGGCGAGGAGCGAATGGAATGAGAGAGGGAACGGAGATAGGAATTCGAGAATGGGTTAATCAAAAATTACAAAAACCGTCCAATTTGTGACACCCATTAGCCGTGTCGTCGTCTCGACTCTCTCTCTATAAAGAGGCTCTACTTGAAATCGTCATCTTCCGCACGAAGGAACGTAACTCCATTCCAAGGTTGCCAAATCGACTCAAACAATTAATTTATTTTACAAAAATGTACGTAAGCAATTTTTATCCAAAATTTGTCTGTTTTTCGCTTGGAATCCAGAGAAAAATCAGGGAAATTTTCAGTCAGAAATGCCCAAGATTCTCTCGATTAATAGGCAATTTGCGAGGGAAAATTGGACTGCATTTTGCAATTTGGACCTATAAATTCCGGCCCGGTTTAAAAACAACGTATGTGCCATTAGTTTCCCAATGCACAAAAGTGTTTTTTCAGATGAGCCAGAATTTATGAGTCCAAATTGCAAAATGCAGTCCAATTAGCAACATTGGAATGGAATTACGTTCTTCCGTCCAGGAGACGACGAAATTTGTTTCATGTTTTTGAGGATGTGTTTCATGTTTTTGAGGATGTGTTTCATGTTTTTGAGGATGTGTTTAATGTTTTTAAGGATGTGTTGCATGTTTTTAAGGATGTGTTTCATGTTTTTGAGGATGTGTTTGTTGTGTGTTGCAGCGGTACCTGGCGACGTCGCGGGACTCGCTGGCGGCGGCGTACATAAACCGGGCGTCGGCGGCGTCGGAGCTGGACCTGTCGCGGTCGAAGGTGCGGCGGAAGGAGATCCGGAACCGGCTCAAGCTGCCCGGGAGCTTCGCCGAGGGGAAGACCCTCAACGGGAGCGCCGGGCCGGCCGGCGGCGGGGGCGGGGGCCCCCACGGCGCCGGCCCCCACCCGGGCGCAGGCCCCAACCACCAACACTCCTATCACGCCTCCAAGTCTTCCCAGGCCAAGTGGTCCTTCGTCTTCGATCCCGCCGGACGGCTCTGCTACTACTGGTCCATGATCGTTTCCTTAGCTTTTTTATACAATTTTTGGGTTATTATTTACCGATTTGCCTTCCAGGAAATTAACCGTGAGTACTCCCGAACTACTATCTTTATTTCCATAAGTTATTCCGACGTATTTCTATCAAATGGACGTATTTCTACCAAACAGACCTATGTGGAGGTGTGAAATATGGGGTGTGCTCGTTAGTTCTCTGGCCGTAAGAGTGAATGGGAATAATATAGCGCCAGTGACGTCAGCGGCAATGATTGTGCGCACTTGAGCGAGGGGGAGATCATCATCGGGGCGCCTTAACTCATGAGCCCTGTCCACAACGCTCTCTTGCCATGCCCGCGGCTCATGAGTTCCGCATTCAGTTGGCACATAGGTCTGTTTGATAGAATGTAAAATCCCGCTTTTCCAATTCTTCAAAAGGAATCACGCCCACTCTTACATTGCTTCTTATGCAGCTTCGACGAGCACACCCCATATTTCTCACCTCCACATAGGTCTCTTTGGTAGAAATACGTCCAAATGGATTTATGTGTAGGTGAGCAATTTGGGGTATGCTCGTCAGCTCTCTGTCCGTAAGAGTGAATGAGAATAATAAAGCGCCAGTGACCTCAACGGAGATGGATGCCGTTGTGCAGCTCGCCTAGTTGCTCATTAACTCATGAGCCCTGTTCACGACGCTCTCGTGCCGTGCCCGCGGCTCATGAATCCCGCATTCAGTTGGCACATAAGTCTGTTTGATAGAATGTAATATCCCGCTTTTCCAATTCTTCAAAAGGAATCACGCCCACTTTTACATTGTTTTTTATGTAGCTTCGACGAGCACACCCCATGTTTCTCACCTGCACATAGTTCTGTTCGATGGAAATACGTCCATTTGAAGAACGGCGTAACCGCCAAAATTCAAGTTTCCAGGAAGCACGAAACAAGTGATTTCCTTGATAATTGAGGAGCATTCCGGAAAAGGGGCACATACGCGTATGTGTTCTTTTTCCGGACATGGCAGAAACGGATTCCTCGCATCCTAATGTACCAATGTCCCGAGTTTCAGCTTAATTGATCAATTTTTGGAGCTAAGAGACCAAGTTTTGTGAGGCTTAAGTCAGGCGTATTTCATCTTTTCGCCCCTGGGTACGGTCGCCGCGACGCGACGTTAAGGAGATAGCGCGCAGGGCGCAGGCAGGCAGGTGATGGGTACTGATATAAGTAAAGATCCCTCATTACAGATGCATCGCACTGATTCTACTAATCAATGCAATTTAATCGGGTTGCAGTGATTGTCTACGCGTTTTGCCGGTGACACGTGAAATTCTGTAATTATTAATAATTCGATTTTTAATGTGCGCTTGTGGGTTTTAATTTTTCGATTTTTCGCGTGTTTTGCTGTCTTTTTTATTGACGATGATCGAAAATGATCCACTAGCACGTTCGCGATCGAAATTATGATTTATTTTCGTTTAGAAACTCGTTAAAGTCTTGAAAATTTAGCTTTGAAAGCCAAAACCTATAACCACCGGTCCATTTCCGGAAAAAGGGCACATAACGGAACATTTTAAAAAATTCCTCCCACAACACTGAAAGAAGTGTAAGTTCTACCAATGGTCGTTATTCATTCTAGGGTGTATGAACGTTGATATGAGTGCCCCAGTTCCGATGTATGTCATCATCAGTGCCCAGAAAGTAGGAATGAAAACTTCAGATGCGTTTTACTCACAACTCATTTTTTCGGTATGTGCCCTTTTTCCGGAAAGCTCCTCAATTGTATTCAGCAAAAGGGTGGTTTTTATACGAGGATTAAAAATAAACAAATGGTACGGAATATATCAAAATAATATGAACTATGCAAAACGATAATCCGGGTATCAGAACTTGGCTGTTTTGTAAACGTCTTCAAATGCGGCGTGATACCTCACGCATTCCGGAGAGTTCAAATAGTTGTATCATTGCGCCGTAAGAATGTGACGGAAGATTACACTTGAAATAGCCTTCATGCACGCAGACCTTTTCGATTTCCGTTCACATTTTTGCAGTCGTGAATGTATAGCTGAATTGCGTTCCAGCTAGAATTTATTCCTCATACCAATGGCCAAAGTGCGAATCCACGGATCTTCATTGCGGTGCATGTCTCAAAATTTTGTTCCTATCGTACTTTTTCAAAGCGGAACGAACGAACTTCATACCTTGAAATTTACGTAGAATATTCACTCGCAGAGAAAAAGAATCAAGAAAATGTTTAAGAGATCACTCTGACTATAGTTTTCCGAAGAAAAAATAAATTATGAAAGGAGGCCTTTGAAAGAAAAATTTTGGTACAATCGCGTAAAAGGTGCGTCCACCTTCAAAGAATACTAATCATGCGAGAACTGAAGGTCAGAAAACTTGGTTCAAAAAATGTAGTTTTCCATGTACACGGAGAAAAAAACCTCGTGCGTGGGACCCGAAGTTTAGGTCATATGGATCTCTGAAGTTTACGGATTGAGCATCTGAACACTTTAGGTCTAGCTGTCGAGGTTCGGATCACACATCTGAAACTTTAGTTCTTACATCTGAAGCACTTCAGATGTGAGAACCGAAGTTTTTCGGATGTGAAAACCGAAGTACTTCAGATGTAAGAACTGAAGTTTCAGATGTGTGATCCAAACCTCAGCAGCTGGACCTTAAGTGTTCGGATGCTCAATCCGAAAACTTCAGAGATCCATACGACCTAAACTTCGGGTCCCACGCACGAAGTTTTTTCCTTCGCGTAGACAAGAAAATATGACGGGAAACCCGCAACGCCGGAAAGCGAGTTACGCATTTCCGCAGTTTCACCGCCGAAATGGTGAAGCAAATTGGCTTTCTGTCGCTTTTTCCTTACAAGGAATTCCGTGACGACTACTTTTTAATTTCGCGAGTTATCTTTGAGAATCAAGCAAGTTCCGAGGAAACCGTCTTTCGAATGCAACTCCTCGACCCCTTCCAACCGCGTCCGACCCGCTTTCGTAAATGTAAAATCTTCGTAGTCGTTATCGCGTCACTCGCTCGAACTTTTCACGCCACTCAGCTCAAAATTAAAAGCACGCTTCCGAGCTGCGTTCCTCCCCGACGAATTTTCGGAAGCTCCTGTAACGGAAAAATGTGGGGTAATGAGAGCACGTATTTTCATTTTTACCGGTCCGCGATCGGAAAATGGCTGCTCTCGAGTCGTCAACTTTTAATGGCTTCGCTGTAAATCAGAACCTCTTGAAAGTTCCGCGAGTTTTGACGGAGAGCGGAAGGTCTCGGCGAAGACCGGGTGCCTAAACTTGGTGCCTCCATTTCTCATAAATACTCGAACGACAGTATATTGGGTTGCAATAAGTGGTTATTCCGATATGTATTGGGCAAACTGGCCATTTTTAGAAATGGATTGGGCTAGAAAGTGATAAAGTGGATTGTTATAAGCAGAAAGGGACCAAGGTACACCAGCTATTGCCCGATTTTAATTAGTCTCTATTTTTTTACATGGAAACTGTAATGTGGATTTTGGTGCGAACTTCAGTGAATTTTCTACCTAGTGAGAGGAGAATGCCTCAAAATTTTCAGAAGAATCCGTACGAACGTTCTTTTGAAAAAAATTAAATTGCATAATTGAATTTGGCGGTAGATGATGTGACTTGTTCCTCTGCCAAACGCTGTTGACGTATACTTAAATCTAAAGAATCTTTTGATTTCTCAAACTATACAGAGAATCCTTTAATACAGTGGGTGTGACTTTAGGTAAATCGAATGGACTTCATTTTGCAATAAGGAACTACAATTTCTGGCTCATTCGTTAAAACCAATTTTTGCACAAGAAACCGAAAGGTACGTACAGAACGACTATGGTTACGACCCCCAAAATACGACTCTGAGGAGGATTACGTTGCATCTGTCAAGGCGCGAGATGCAACTATTCGAACTCAGGAGTATGCCGTAGCATCATTGCTAAATGAAGGCGTTTTAAGCGCGGAGTCAAATAAGACAGGAAGCGCATTTATAGAATGGAAATACTGCAAGGAAACGTTGCATTGCGAACAAGGCGCGAGATGCAACTATTTGAACTCAGGAGTGTGCCGCAGTATTTTTTCTTTTCTTATATCCTAACTAATTTTGACATATTTGTTTTCGCCGTTATAAATGTGCATTTACAAATAAAATAAATTATTATTATTATTATTAGTATCACCGCTATTTGAAGGCGTTTTAAGCGCGGAGTCAAATAAGACAGGAAGGGCATTCATGGAATGGAAACATTCGTCTCTGTGTGTGACCATGAATTTGTTGGCGGTTGTAGCCGTAGGGAACCACGAAACACGGGGAGGTGATAATAAAATTCGCGCCACGCAGCGCACGTTCCACTGCGGCGAAAATCGGCGGGCGTCGCGACGTCCCTGTCCAAGGCGGAGCGGCGCGCGGCGCGGATCCTGTAAATCAAAACGGAGCCAGACGTGCTCCCGGAAAACTGCAACGCCAACTTTTCCAAAAGTTGAGCGCGGAAGTTAAACCACGCGCAGTTGAATTCCGATCCGCCTCGAGTATTATCTCAAATAATTAATCGGAAAGTATTTCATAAACAAGTTGTTAAATGCCGCGTCGTAATTCCGCCATTCAACAGATCGCGTCACGCCGGCTCACTCTCCTCCCGCGTTGCCAAACTTGGCGCCTGAAATTCCGCGAGCTTTGAATTATTTCCAAAATATTGGAAGTACATTAAAGTTCACCACCGTATATTATTATCGTTTTCACGTAACGATGGCTAAGGAGCAATGCCGTCTAACCGACACTCTTGGCGAATTCGACTTGGTCAGCGACCTCGCCGCGTTCTATTGGTCTGGTTACACGATCAAATTCCCGTCAAATTCCGATCAAAATGATGACCAAGATGGCGGTCGATAGTTATCTAGATTGATGAGTAAAATTAATTAAAACAGCGTGTCGATTGAAATAAGCACGGTTGTGTGGAAATCAGATGAAGGATGAGCCCCACACCTCCACCATCTACCATCAAATTTTTGCAAGCCGCAGAAATTTAATGGTATATGATGCGCACTAGTCACCATTTGATCGGAAATTGAT